GTTGCCTCATAGTTCTTCAGGTATGTCACATTCTGTTTGGGTCTTGGATTCTGGTGCTTCACATCATATGTCTCCAGATTCTTCATCTTTTGCTTCCGTGTCTCATTCGTCTTGTATTCCTGTCATGACTGCTGATGGCACTCCTATGCCTTTAGCAGGTGTTGGTTCTGTTGTCACACCTCACTTGTCTCTCCCTAATGTTTATCATATTCCGAAACTCAAATTAAATCTTGCTTCTGTTGGTCAGTTATGTGATTCTGGTAATTTAGTCACATTTTCTTCTTCTTCTTGTTATGTGCAGGATCTCCAGTCTCAGAAGCTGATTGGGACAGGCCGTAGGAAGGGGGGACTATATGTTTTGGATGAGTTAAAAGTACCAGTTGCTGCTGCTGCTACTAGTGTTGATTTATCTTCTTTTCGTTTGAGTCCTTCTTCTTCTAGTTTTTATTTATGGCATTCTCGTCTAGGTCATGTTTCGTCTTCTCGTTTGAGATATTTGGCTTCTACAGGGGCATTAGGAAATTTGCAACCTTATGATATTTCAGATTGTAGTGGATGTAAACTGGCAAAATTTTCAGCTTTACCTTTTAATCGAAGTATTTCTATTTCTTCCTCTCCATTTGATTTGATTCATTCTGATGTATGGGGGCCTTCTCCTGTTGCCACAAAAGGAGGGTCCCGGTATTATGTTTCTTTTATTGATGATCATACTCGTTATTGTTGGGTTTACTTAATGAAACATCGTTCTGAATTCTTTGAGATATACACAACATTTCGTGCTCTTGTCAAAACTCAACATTCTGCTGTTATCAAATGTTTTAGGTGTGATTTGGGTGGGGAATACACTTCTAAAAAATTTTGTGAACTGCTTGCCTTAGATGGAACTATTCACCAAACTTCGTGTACAGATACTCCTGAGCAAAATGGTGTTGCTGAAAGAAAACATAGGCACATTGTTGAAACTGCTCGCTCTCTCTTGTTGTCTACTTCAGTTCCTAGTGTGTATTGGGGTGAAGCTGTTCTTACTGCTGTAAGTTTGATTAATACAATTCCATCTTCTCATATTTCAGGTTTTTCTCCTTTCGAAAAGTTGTATGGGTATGCCCCTGATTATTCTTTCTTTAGAGTTTTTGGTTGTACTTGTTTCGTTCTTCGTCCTCATGTAGAACGCAGCAAGTTGTCATCTCGATCTGCTATTTGTGTCTTTCTTGGTTATGGTGAAGGTCAAAAGGGGTATCGTTGTTTTGATCCAATAACTCAGAAACTTTATGTGTCTCGTCATGTTGTGTTTCTCGAGCATATACCTTTCTTTTCTATTCCATCAACTACTCATAGTTTGACTAGATTTGATCTTATTCGTATAGATCCTTTTTCTACTGATTCTGATAGTTTGTCATCTCAAGTTCCTAGCACTTCAAATACTGATCATTCTGCATGTACTGACACTTTACTCTCCGGCACACCTGAAGCTCCCTCTTCTCCTATGGTCCCTCAAGCCCCGTCTGAGACTGTGGATCCACCTCTACGTCAATCCATACGCATTCGTAAGTCTACAAAGTTACCAGATTTTGCTTATTCTTGTTATTCTTCATCTTTTACTTCCTTTTTAGCTTCTATTCATTGTCTCTCTGAGCCCTCTTCCTATAAAGAGGCAATTCTTGATCCTCTTTGGCAGCAAGCTATGGATGAGGAACTTTCTGCTTTGCATAAGACTGGTACTTGGGATTTGGTTCCTCTACCTCCTGGTAAGAGTGTTGTTGGTTGTCGTTGGGTGTATAAGATCAAGACTAATTCTGATGGATCAATTGAGCGATACAAAGCTAGGTTGGTTGCAAAAGGGTACTCTCAACAGTATGGTATGGATTATGAGGAGACATTTGCTCCTGTTGCAAAAATGACTACTATTCGTACTCTTATTGCAATAGCTTCGATTCGTCAGTGGCGTATCTCTCAACTTGATGTTAAAAATGCCTTCTTGAATGGAGATCTTCAAGAAGAAGTTTATATGGCTCCCCCTCCTGGTGTTCCACATGATTCTGGGTATGTTTGCAAGCTCAAGAAAGCGTTGTATGGTCTCAAACAAGCACCTCGTGCTTGGTTTGAGAAATTTTCTGTTGTGATTTCTTCTCTTGGATTTACTTCCAGTAGTCATGATTCTGCTCTTTTTGTTAAGTGCACTGATGCAGGTCGTATCATTCTATCTTTATATGTTGATGACATGATTATCACTGGTGATGATATTGATGGTATTTCAGTTTTGAAGACAGAGTTGGCTAGACAGTTTGAAATGAAGGATTTGGGTTCTCTACGATATTTCTTGGGTATTGAGGTAGCCTGCTCACCTAGAGGTTATCTTCTTTCTCAGTCGAAATATGTTGCAGATATTCTTGAACGGGCTCGACTTACTGATAATAAGACTGTTGATACTCCCATTGAGGTTAACGCAAAGTATTCTTCTTCTGATGGTTTGCCTTTATCAGATCCTACTTTATACCGTACTATTGTTGGGAGCTTGGTATATCTCACTATTACTCGTCCAGATATTGCATATGCTGTTCATGTTGTTAGTCAGTTTGTTGCTTCTCCTACTACAGTTCATTGGGCAGCTGTTCTTCGTATTTTGCGATATCTTCGGGGTACAGTCTTTCAGAGTCTTTTACTTCCATCCACATCTTCCTTGGAGCTGCGTGCATACTCTGATGCTGATCATGGCAGTGATCCCACAGATCGTAAGTCTGTTACTGGCTTCTGTATCTTTTTGGGTGATTCTCTTATTTCTTGGAAGAGCAAGAAGCAATCTATTGTGTCTCAATCTTCAACCGAAGCAGAATATCGTGCTATGGCATCCACTACCAAAGAGATTGTTTGGTTACGTTGGTTACTTGCAGATATGGGAGTTTTTCTTTCACATCCCACTCCTATGTATTGTGATAATCAGAGTTCCATTCAAATTGCTCACAACTCGATTTTTCATGAACGAACTAAGCACATTGAGATCGATTGTCACCTTACTCGTCATCATCTCAAGCATGGCACAATTACTTTGCCATTTGTTTCTTCTTCTTTGCAGCTTGCAGATTTCTTTACCAAGGCGCATTCTATTTCTCGTTTTCGTTTTCTTGTTGGCAAACTCTCGATGCTTGTAGCTGCTGCATCGTGAGTTTGAGGGGAGATGTTAAGAAATATATTATTATTTTGTTAACATTATTTATTAAGGGTAGAATAGTCTTTTAAGTTTTCTTTATTTTAGACTATATATAGTTTTTTTTTTATCTAGGTTTTATTTATTCAATTACATTATGCAGAATCAATAAAACCCTAGCTTCTTTTTCATCTTCTCTTTGGATTGTTTAACAGTTAGCACTCTATCCCTCTTCAACACAAGGGTCGAGTAGGCTCTTTGATTGATGTGCATGTGAAGTTAACTTAGAGACTGGACACGCAATATTTGACGTTAGTTAACAAATAAAATACAAGCCCTATATTTTGAGAATTAGAAACTCTAATTATATATTATCGATAGCAAATAAATCGTATAAAAAATAAACACACAAGATATATAGAGATTCGTCACAATATGACACATGTCATCTTCCATTGCTGCAGTGATTTACTACGATGAAAAGAAATTTACAAGCGAAAACTCGCACACCCTGACTTGTCTAATCTCCACGACATAACACTACATCTAAGAAAGAAGAGATGATGCATGAGCTGCACTACTTTCATAAACCATAAGTCTTTCATTAATCTAGTCAAATAAGTAATCATAGCCAAAAAATAGCAATGCACGTTTAACAGTGATTGGTGATATTATAGTTTATAACTGTTGACTGTTGACACGCACACATGACCATGACCTCTTTGTTTTTTGTTTCTCAAAGTTGATGCTTACTGAGTAAGGTTGTCTTTTCTTTTCTGGGTGGAGAGTGGCACATAAACCACAATATATAAAACCCTATCATGTGCTAGCTTCGAGTATTTTGTCCCTTAAAACTTAAGATATGTAGAATGCACTGATTCCTTGTTCACATGTAGAAATTAGTAAAGTACAAGTTAGTGCAGAAATGCAGCTCCCCCTCACATGAGCGTGCAGATTAAGATTTTATTGAAACTTCAAGGTCTAATTAATGGAGAGTGGTGATTGTGAGTTTGTCTAGGTATATAATATATATTTTGATAGTGATTGGCACATGTTCGATACACATCACTTTAAAGATAAGGATGCTTATATCAGTATTATCTAGTTCAGTATAATAGAAATTAATAAGAGATTGAAAACTCGTTAAAGTCTCGAAATTGGATTTTTAGGTGAAACATAAAAGGATGAACAAATAAGTGTTAGGTGATTTGAGACTTGACCTACATTCAAGGGCAAACGACAAGAAGAAGTTCATTCCACACGAAGGGAGGGAATGGAAGCAAGCATTTTTTGTTCAATTGGTAAGGAATCAGACATGCTCATACTGGTTGAGTATGCCACTTTCATAGCGACTTTCCAGAAAGTCTTCATGTAATCCAAACCTTCCACAAAATTTACCAAGCATGTTTGGGAGTTGTTTATAAATGGTTTAAATTAAAAATAAATAGAAATGAGTGGTGAATAAGTAAGTAGTACTTGTGGATCCCATGAAATATATAGATAAAAAGTGATTTGACTATTAGTAAATAAATTATAAAAGTAGCCAAACATGGACTAAAATGATCTCAAAGTCTCACCAAAAGAGAGATTGTTAACTAATTGAACAAACAAACAAACCAATTCTTATTATACCTAGAATATGAGTGGATATTCTCAGAGGTCCAAAATAACACTATTTGACATCTATAATTGAGGCTGGTCTAAAATTACATAACAATGCTTCTTTGGGCCCTTATGGGGGCTACACAGGCTGGACCATGTTCCCATCAAATTATCATTGGATACTCATCACTTCCCACAATCTTAGCCACAGTAGAAAAAGAATTCCATAGACTGAAAATATCAAGAGCCAACTGCAATGGAGGCCACTGATATTGAGTTTCCAGGATTTCAATGTTCGGTTCCTAGTAAAGAGTTTGCGATCGCACAAAAACCATCATTGAGTCGGTTGCAAAGGCGTGCACCCCATCGTCTGCAGCTGAATCTAGCCAGCAATCTTGAATGCAAAGGTGCAGTGATGTCCAGTGGGGGGAACATAGATTCATCATCAACAATTAGTCCATATTTTCCCAGTAAAGATCCTATTCCTCTTCTTTCTCCTCTTGTATTGCCTTCCATGCTTGAATCTCCCATTATCCAAAAGGCAAACCAAGGGAAGTCTGGTTGATAATCATGGAGTATCTCGTAAATGGATTAGAGTTTGGTATTGACTTTAATGGCATGTTCGATAAGGTAGATTCGACATTACTATTGCTAGATGAAGAAAATAAGTTACGATATTATCTACTGTGTCTATAACGATGTGTCTATTTTAGTGCCGAGTATTATATCGAAGATAACGCAATTGTAAACTGCATTTTTCTTTTGATTGTTTATAAAATTATACTAGTTCATGGCACCTATCCTCAATTTTTTTTCTTTTGAAGTCTCAACCCCACACCCATGAAATCTTTTATTATTATTATTATTATTATTCTTTTTTTTTTTCCAATTATAAATGGGAAACATGTAATGAAATCTTAATTAGTTTTTTTTTATCTTTTGGATTATGAAACAATCTTCCAATCTAAGGATTGGACTTAGATTGTCCTATATACAAAAACAGATCTTTATCCACGGACAAATCTACAACACACTCTAGCAAGGGAAACATTTAGCTTAGCTTTATGGTCATTCAAGGCCTAGCTTTTATTAACAAGTCGACATGACTTGGCCTGCCAAAAATTGTAAGCCAGTCCTGACTTCTTCGCAGGCAGGCCGAGTTAGTCTATCGATCTTACACACTAAGGCCCTGTTTGATATAGTTGTTTTTTCATGGAAAATGGAATTGATCTTCCATTTTTTACGTTTTTTGGTGTTTGATAGCATTTTTTTCCATACCAAATGTTTTCCACCCTCCCCCCACACGTGCACATTTTCCCTTAAATTGGTGAAAACATTTTCCCACCATTTAGGTGGGAAATGGTTTTTCAGGTGCTGCTGTGTATTTTTTTTATTTTTTGCAATAGAAACAAATTTTATAATCAATTATAACATTTTTTTTCACTTCAATGGACAATTTCCATGTAAAACAAAGTCAAATGAACACAAAATTTTAAAATTTTTCAGGTGAAAAATTATATCAATCAAACATACTTAATTATCAATTCCCCGCAAAATAATTTCTAAGCAATTACTTTCCATGTAATTCATTTTATTTCCACCATTGCAATCAAACGAACACTAAGCATACATGTATTGTTATTATCATGTCCAAGCTATAGTTGTAATTTACTAAATTAAAAATATGGCAATATACGTATTTTCATAAAATAAAGGAAAATACAGTGGAATTCAAAATTTTTTTTTTTACCCCCTTTACAATTGATTTTATTGAACTTTTAATTTCAAAATAATAATAATTAAACATTACATGCACTAGAAAATTTTGTTTCCTAATAATTGTCCAATGTAGGTAAATGCGAAATTTCAAAATTCAATTGAGATTGGAAATTACTATTTTAGCCCCTTCGTCCAATGTACCATTAATTAAAATTCATATAACAGTTAAAATATATATCAATAAACACAAATTACGGTGAAGCCTTAAAGGTAAGAAGAGTTGAGAGAGCTAAAAGTATAGATCAAAATGAAATGGATAAATCTTTTTGTACAACGTTTTTTTACAACATTGCTGACAATGTAGGTTTTAAAAAAGTTTTGGTTGAAAAGATAAATTATTTTAAAATTGTCCAATGACAACATGTCCTGCCCCTCTATAGTTGTCTACTGCACCATTAATTAAAATTCATATAATAGTTAAAAA